TATTTTTTTCTCTCAGTGCACATGTGTTCGGTAGTAAACACCGCCGCGCCAGACACCGCGCGAGACGCCCGCGTATACGCGCCGTCTGCTGCTTCTGTTTCAGGATTAGGATCGCGAGTCGATATAATCATCAATATCTCCGCACAGAAAAATTGTAGCGAGATGATCCTAGTCTCGTTGGAAAGCTAAGATTTCAGCGCTTCTAACGAGATAAGAATGGTTTATCTCGGATCATTAGTTTACGAGATTTCATTAATTAATTACAAAAACAAAATTGATTTTGTCCCGAGATCAAGATCGCGAGTCGATATAATCGTCATTATATCCGCACAGAAAAATCGTAGCGAGATGATCCTGGTCTCGTTGGAAAACTAAGATTTCAGCGCTTCTAACGAGATAAATGTACATTTATGTACAACAGCACCAGTTGAAATCGGAGTATAATGCTCTTGCAACACGGGACTCAGTATCACGGATACGTATCATTGGCTGCGGCGTTTTAAAGAGACATGGCATATTATTCTTTCGAGCAAGGAGAAACCTTGTAGTAAACCTTCAGAGCCAGGAACGAAAAACAGTATCGAAGACGAAGTTTATATTCCAATAAGAAATAGGTGGGTCAGTGGATACCAGTGCTAGGTGCCAGATTTGTAATACGGAGAGCCGGGTTCGATCCCACCCAGTACCAAAAATTCTGGGTGGGGGGTTTTCTCGGGGATCCGAATGCAGATTCGGAAGAAGGTGGACGGTGTCCACAGGGTTGCGCATGCCCCGGAAATTTTCGGGGATGCCACCAAGTCGAATCTGCCCCCCCCCCCCCCCAAAGAGGGACTCGCTCCTCCACCTTCTCTGACAGAATGAGAACGGTGGGAAAAGCGGAGACCTCGACATCACCTGGTACATAAATGTACATTTATGTACAACAGCACCAGTTGAAATCGGAGTATAATGCCTTGCAACGTGTATGGGACTCACTATCGAACACATATCATTGGCTACGGCGTTTTAAGAGAGACATGGCATTATTTATAATGCCCTATCTTGCTTTAAACCGCCACAGCCAATGATAGGTGCTTGGAATAGTGAGTCCTATACGTGTTTCAAGAGCATTATACTCCGATTTCAACTGGTGTGTTATACACTGATACCACTTTTTTTTTTACGTGTGGAAATCCTTTATGGATAATACATTGATACCACTGGATCTTTGTTGATTATACCACTCATACAGAGCTTTATCTAAATTTTTACTTCGTCCACAATCCATGCGGATTTTATTCCCTATTGTAGAAGCAGGTAATTCAGAGGTATTAATATTATGTGTTGAAATAAATTCTTGTAATTTAGATTTTGATTTCCTGATATTGAACACTGTTCGTTCGTGTACGCCATAAATATTACAAACATCCGTCACTGAGAAGCCTTGTTCCAACTTCTCGATTAGTTCTAATTTCTGCGCCACATTCAGGAGTACGTCTTTTCTCTTCACCTTCTCATTGTTTGGTGCCATTATAAGACCGAGAGAGAGAAAAGAGTAATAGACCAATCGCAACAGAATTGAACATACCAAGACAAATTACAATGTGAAGAAATTTATAACTAAAGGTACCATTACCAATAATTTTCGCCAAGGCAGACCAAAAGCAACGACTTCTAAGGAAAATATAAATATTATAATACAAAGCAAACGTAATTAATAATAATGTATGTATATATTCTATGTATACATATATTATGTATATAATTATAGTACGTATAGTAGCACAGTAATTATAGTAATGTATATATCATAGTATGATGTATTATTTATTCACACTATATCTATATGACCAATTCTTCACTTTGCGAGCTAGAACGGAAAGTGATTGGTCGCCGTTTGCTGCGTATTGTCCGGCATGTTCGGTCGTATACTTGAGTACACGCGCCCTCTCTAGATATTTGTGCACCATGGAGAAAACATCGCGTAAATCAGCTGATCTAATGGCTCGGGCAGTTGCGAGTCTCTCAGAATCAAAACTGATGAATTAAAAAGCAAGACCAAGAAGAAAATTAATGAATCCAACTTTTTTTAATTTTTTTCATTTTCGCATGAGTTATTTATAAAAAGATTTATCACTCTTCTTTACTTCTTATATAACGAAATTGATTAGTTTGATTGCAAATTATATTCAATTAAAACGAATATGGCATCTTCGTCTGAAAAAGTAATTTTAATTAAATCGTTTCTAGGAGCTTATTAATCGCGAAAAATTAAAATCGCAAATCAACAAAATTAGAAAATATTAATCGTCAAAAAAGAAATAGCGCATTACGCGCTGTTCTTCACCGATCTCAATCAAACTTGTCGTAATGATACTGTCTAATTAATGTAAGTAAAGCTATGTTTCTTAATAAGCCTTCGAAATTGACTTCTAACCAGTTAAATCCTTTCTTATGAAGTTTTATCGAAATTGATGAAGAACTGCAGTGCGTAGCGTCTCCTTGTGATGTTTTTAGAATCTTGATGCCAGAAAATGTCTAAAGTTTCAAGTCCAGAAACTTACAATGTTAAATTCTCGCAAATTAACAATGTTATTAGAATCGGCCCAAAAAACGAAATCTAAATGGACACTAAACTAAAAGAATTACGATTTTAGGAGTTTCAATGATTTTCGTGATAAAAGGAAAATGTTTCGTTGAATCATCACTTTGTCTCCTGATATTTTTAACGTTAATCACATAAGATTAATTTATTGAATAATTGCATAGTATGAATTAGTATGGTGTAACAACAAGGTCAAGTTGTGTCGAGTTTAGATTTTCTGCACCCTGTAAATGCTCTGAAATTCCGATTGGTTTTTTTTTAAACAAAAAACATGGATTATTGACGAGAATATAAGTCATAGATTTAGTCACTATTATACTTGGATATTATGCGCGGAGTAGCGGAATACAAATAAGTGTACACTCATTTTAAGGTGTTATCCGCATGGATGATGATGTTTGTTCATTCCAGCCGCAAGCTATTGTAATAGAAGAATAGAATAGTGTAGCATAATTACGTAGTCGACTTACATTGACTGTGTTAATTAGGTCGATCGAGCACGTCGGAGTTGAATTACGTAAAGTTTTCCTCTACCTCGATCAGCCTTTATCAGTGTAACTTATAAATATCTTTGTATATACTACAGTATATCGATCGTAATAGTCATAACAAACGTCACACGAAGGTAATTCGTGTTAATATAAAAAATTTAAGTGAAAATGAGTACACGATGTACATAAAACGGGTACATGTTTTACATTCGCGCTCTTCTAGTTCTACGATCTAAGTGCTAATAGACTTCGACATTTGGCACGTTTCGTTCTTACAGAGTTAGTTGACACCTTTATAAACAATACGCTGGAAATGGTTTTTGATTAGAAGGAATATCGATACCCAAATCGGTGTGTATTTTGATTTTATGGCCGTCCTTAAGTTTAATTCGATCGTTTAGTCGAAGATTAAGGCGAAATATTAGTCTGAAATATTAATCGTCAATTATACATAATATGCATGTCAGAAAGATCTAATTAGATGAGTGGTGTGCTACAATGAGGTAAAATTATTTATCGTTATTAGACTAGTTAGTACGTTTACCCAAATTTATTTCGTTGCGTACGAAAACTATAAAGTTTAATTCTAATGATTGAAATTATTCCAATGATTACATCGAAACCTAGTATCTTCTCATAAATTAAACTTATTTATTAAATAACACCTAAACACACCGTTGAATTACAACTCAAAGACGGCCCGGTTATCGTTTTACCGTTAAGTACAATTAACACTGTGTAATAATAAGCTTACACAGATATCTTAAAGAAGTCTTTAGACAGTGTGCTAACGTTCGTAATTATGTATGTCGATATACAAACATCCTTTCTAAGGGCCCCGTTTCAAGAAGTCAAGAAGTTCGCATTTCGAACGAATGAATTGCACGGTACTCTATTCTAGGCAGTCGATTCCTTCCACTTATTAATTATAGGCAGAACCACTGTTCCCGTTCGCAGCCTGAAACCGTCACAGATTTCATTTACACCTCCAACAACAAGTAAAGAAGTACGGGGAGTTCGTTATCGGAGGCAGATGGAGTCACCGCGAATTAAAAAGACTCTCTTCGTGCGGGCAATCATTCAGACGCTACTTAATACAGAGCACCAAACCTATCATCGAGTATACAACGATATCTAAAACTTATACATTTATCAATTTTATTTGTCGTTTGATCTTATTGCCTTCGTACGAGTCAGTTACATCACGCGATCCCCGCTCATGCTCCGAGGCTTTTCTTTCTGTAAAATGAGTCTACCAAATTTGAAAGAATCGTCGTAGTGCAAACTCGTCGAGTCTCGTGTCGCAGCGCCGAAGTCCCATTATCGAAAGTGTGTAGATTTGGAGAAAACGTTGAGTCGCGCGGATTCCATCTGCCTCGGAATATCACGCGAACCCTGCGCTCGCGTTAAGTTCATTCCCGACAGATATCAGGGCGGACCGGTACTCGTATCGAAATACGAATTGGACGAAACACGCGGCATCGATCTCGATGCTACCTTTAGGTTCGCCTGACTGCCGTAGAAGGAGGTGAAGGCCGTGTCGGAACTGACGCTAAGCGGTAGACTTGTCGCGTCCATTGTCTCCCTCTCGCTGCCGAGGGTGGATGCCCTTATGTCGAGGGTGCCGCTCACGCCTGACATTCCGGAACTCGTGGCCATCTCCACCTCGCCGACATCGGGATGGGACATATGTCTTGAGATTAAAATAACGTTACGTTAATGCACGCTTCTATAATTCGTGCCGAAAATCGACTCGCAAGATATTATTTTCACCTATAATCTGGGATCGGCGGTTCGATGTGCTGCCTCCGTGAGTTCGACGACATCGGTGTTCTCTTTATCGCGTAAATGTATATGCCGGTCATGGTGAGCGCGTACGAAACGAAGTACAGTGCATGAAACTGGAGAAGACGACGAGAGATCAGTACTGATTTCCACACGAAAAGCTAGTTTTTACTTTGAAAAATTAAGTTCACTTCGTGATCGAAATTTTCTAAAAACACTGAATAACGTCTTATATTCAATATGAAACGATATCACGAATGAGAACACGCTCGATCGATATAGAGACCGACGGCACTCGTACCGCGGATCAATGGCTTACCTTGTAGTGGTGATTAAGCATTCCAGCCAATATATTGAAGGAGTCCGAGGTGAGCAGCGCGAGCTGCAAGGCGGTAGCGCCCGATTCAAACAGTATTACCGGCACCAGAGAGAAGAACATGAATTGCGTGATGCAGTAAAGAATCAGGATCGTTATTACTGGTACGTTGTCCCAGTGAAACGCTTCTATTTGAAACCTCTGGAGCACCGCGCTGCAGTAAAAAAACCGATCGATACAAAAATGTCACTCATTCCTATGAAAGCTCTCAGTATTCATGACCGCCCACTACTTACGTTTGCATGCAGCTCAGTATTGTACCGAAAAAACCGATCATGCCGAGGTATTCGATGATATCGACCGTCTTAACGGCCAATTCCTGCAGCACCGTCGTTATGGAGAACAATACCGCGCCGCCGAGACAAAGCATATCGCCAACAAGTTGGTTCTTTCCTAAAATTAACGTTCAACGTTAATCCTCTTTTCCGTTTATCCGCATTCACATTGATAATCACCAGTAGCCATCGGATCGTTATTGTCGTCTATACCAGCCCAGACCAGGCATCCCACGCCCATCAAGCAGACAGACACGCCGACGATATGCACCATTCTGTATCTGACACCCAGGACCAGAAACGAGAGTACCAAGGCGACCGGTATCGCCACGCAGTCGAGAAGCTGAAATATTTTTAACAAATAGACTTAAATCAGGACCATTATAATACAAATCAAATAAGAAAACGCCAAATTTTAAGTCTGAGCAAGATGTAGACGGCTCAACAATTTTAATTTAAAATGTGAAATATTTTAAATCAGTATATAGAGGAGTATACTTAAAGTCACCAGTGGTGAATAAAATAGAAATAAAACTTCTTGTTGATCCAACTGGCAATATAATTAGTTAAATGTTACATTTGGTACATTGGGTCGAAACGTCGTACCAAATGTAACATTTAACTAATTATATTGCCAGTCGGATCAACAAGAAGTTTTATTTCTATGAAATATTTTAGTTGCCTACGACAGTTTATTTTTTACATTAGTAATGTTTATGTATGCAATCAAGTAACGGCGAAACCGAGAATGTATGGGACACGCAGCAATGGATAATTCATAACGCGCCTACAATGTGTTTGCTTAAGAATGGCTGGCTCGAACAACGCCGGAACGAGCATTGTTGGGTCGCAGACCCAACATCCTCTTCTCCGCTATGGGCGTGCAGCTACAATGTCTATTCCGCGCGCCATTCACAGTTGATACGAGTACTACTACGCTCGCCAGATAATACAAATTCAAACTGTACGAGGGGAAAGTTGTGTGCTCGAGTAGGAAATCGTGCATTAAGCAACGCCGACAGAAATCGGTCTTCAATGGGATCTAAACGCGGATGGGAGTAATCGCGAAACAAGCAACTTTCCTGCGAATTGTCCAATGAAGCTTAAAAATCGTGGACGCGGTGAACATGGAAAATTTGTCGCAGGGACTCGAAAATGTGATATATTGTACGATAAAAATTACTCAAGTCAATAATATGCTACAAGATTTCTAGACATCTAGAATTATTCTATATCGCTTTACTGTGTTCTTGAAAAGATCTCTGCATATTTACATACCTGTATACTAGCAAGGCTGGTATATTGATGCGATGATGTAATAAGAGTGCACGCCTCAACGTCGATCAGTGCTAACAACAAATACCTCCAGCCACGGGCCCGTATGACGGAAATTAGGCCATTCCCCACACCCCTGCAGGACATCCACGTCGTGTAGACTAAACACATCATCACGTAGTGCGGAACATTCTGCCCTGTCTCGCAAAAACGATAATAATTAATTAGACGCGCAAAGTTTCCAACTTGAAATTACTATAGTTCAGTCAACTTAACTTTCGACGCTGCATAAAGGCAGAAAACATTCTTTCGAATGAATAAGTTACCTGTTGGAAGCGAGAGCTTGTAGGAACCGGTGTTTATGTAATGATTTATGAACGTCATGAAGCACAGCACCAGCGAGAGAAACTGGCCCATTATTATCGCCCTCCATACCGCCCTATTTTGTAATAGATACATTAACAAACAATTAATATTCTAGAATATACAAATGTGTCTTATTGTTAGACTGCATTATTACATATTACTACATTTGTGACTAAATTTAAAAATATTAATAATTTCGTAACATATATTAAGTAATGTCAATTAGTGCCAAATTAATGGTACAAAAATTATATATTCTATTAAAAGATTTATATATTATAAAAAACAGGTAGTCGATTTCTCTAAATAGAAATTTATTCAACTTAAGCTTGTAGTAAATATCTCATATTTGGTACCGGAGTACTTTAAGTAGTAACGCCCGGCGCTTGTCAGACCTAGAACGCGTTGTCGAGACAACCACGCGACGTAAAAAAAAACATGCCGCATAAAATAAAGCTTAATTTAAATGCTAGAAAGTATTTTATAATAGTAATGTTTTATAGTAATCGTACAAAAATTATTGAAATCATTAAAAATCTATAAGATTACTGAAATGCACAAAGCTCAACGTAGAGTTCTGCGAATTTTACACACGCAGAAACCGTGCACAAGCTACATCAATACCAGCGTGATCCGAGTTTCCGGAATCATATTATCACATATATTAATTTGTTATCAATGCTTGTTATTTAAATTTTCAAAGCACCAACCGAGGTTAAATCATCGTGATTACAGCACGATTACTCATCGTTATGCAAATCGTGAGAAACTATGTAGAAAACGTAGCTAAACACCCGCCGCTTTCATCCCTGGGTCATTCGCCCCCCTTTCGCCCGTCCCCACCGACTCTGTAGGGCGGCACAGGGCGGAAAACACACGCAACGGCTCCTGCGAACGCCTAGGGCGGCTACCCCCACGTTTACTCACGTACCATCGACCCAGCTCGGATATGTAATTTTCGATTTTGTCGCAGACCCCATTCCTGGCCTGCATCGCCGGATTTTGAGCGCCGTGACGATCGCCCGCCGATCCTCCCATGCCATGGTGCATTTTCACCCTGAAGGCTCCTCGCCGGCGAACGAGTACTGATCCGAGGCGCTTGCGCGACCTCCTTCCGCTCTCGGTGCGGAGGGACACGCCGTTACTCTTGTTGCTCCTCTCTCGTTTCCCTGGGGTGCGTGCTACGATGGGAAATACGAGATTTTACTATGCCACGATGAACATCAATACTATGCGGCGTCGTAACGTCGCGCGGAATTCCGGTACGCTTTATCGACCTCGCAAACGATCGAGAAAAATTAAATCTTTCCTGATAAAATTCCCTTTATTTTTTCGACAAAAAAATTTTTTAGATAATATTTGAAATTTGAAATCGATATCTTCTAAAATTCTTACGTTACTCAGTCCTGGATCTAACTTGAAGGTGTAAATTAAATAAAAACGTAATATTAATAATTTGTAGATTTTTAAGTGTTTTTAAAGTCTCTCTTTGAATTTAAAATTACAAGGATCGGCGGGCGATCGTCACATTAATAATTTGTAGATTTTAAGGTGTTTTTAAAGTCTCTCTTTGAAGTTAAAATTACAAAGGATCGGTGGGCGATCGTCACGGCGCTCAAAATCCGGTGATGCAGGCCAGAAATGGAGTCTGCGACAAAATCGAAAATTATATATCCGAGCTGGGTCGATGGTACGTGAGTAAAACTCAAGTTCTAATTTGAACTTGAAAAAATATACAATTGGTACGCATAAGATTGAGGAAAGATCCGGGCTAACGAAGTAAAGAAGTATTTCTTTATTTATTATCAGGTAATCCTGTTGTAGAATTTTATTTACAATGTATTGACATCCTCGGACATACTGTGTGAGCTCAGTCGTATATAATGTCCAAAAGGTTCCCACTTTTCGTAGCAGTCAGAAAGAGATTTGCACATTATATAAACTTTAAATAACTTTAACTTACTTATACTATGTCATATATCTCAAACTTGTTATCACTGCGATACAGCATAAAATTACGCACAGGTATAGATTATCCGACGTATGAAAAGAAGGCAATATTGTAACGCTATGAATATATAAATTTGTGCAGTCGGTTTCGCCGTTTCCATCGATTCCAACAATAACATACCGCCGGCCGAAGGAAATCGACCTTTTGTCAACGATTGCTTATCTAAAACAGGAAATTGCCGGTTTTGGTGATACAGTTCATGTCACTTTTACAAAGATGGAAAAATATTTTTAATTTTATACGTTTCCCCGATATGACGTCAGATTATTTCTCTGTGTTCCAACATCTTCATTACACGCAGTACGCAACTAATGCATTACATTCACACGTCAGAAAGTCTATTAGTTAGTCGGAATAACAATAAATTGTCAAGTGGAAAACGGAGACGTAAGTTTACGAGATAAAAATCCTCTCTTCGTCATTATGAGGTATAAGACGTAGAATTTTCGCGAAATTTGATTTTAAACGAACGCTGATCTCGCGTTCTCGTTCGATGAGCAAAAATTTATGCTAAGAACTATCGAAGACGTTGTTCGATGAGGAGGGTCCTCTTCGTCAAGTAAGACCGATCGTTTCTACTGGTCACTTCAATTAGAAGTAATTTTACTTCTTCTTGGCCTCTTCTTCTACCGTCTCGTTCTGCTTGCGGAAGCAATCGCCTACCGGAAAGAAGTCCCAACACCTTTGTTGATACATATTCCATACATACGTTTCCTGACCAGTGTATTCGGTGTCTGGTTTGTTAATCAAGTGCATAAGGAAGAACCTGTTGATCGAAAATTATATGTGAATTGATAATATGAAGTATATCCTTCTTTTATTAAAAATACTTCATTGTAAAATCAGAATCGTAAAATATTTGTTCATATTTACATGTAATTTGCTAGATTATGCTCTTGTTGCACGTGGGTGTCGAATCCATGTGGCACCGCGTCGAAATATTCCTTTCCTAAACCGCATATGAAGCAATTGCTCTCCATATTTGTCTTCACGTTGTCGAGCTGATCTCGAAGTTCACCAAACGCGTCGATGATCAAACCTGAGAACCAATCGCGATATAATATCGTACTCTCTTTCTGCTGCGAGTCAGAGAATCAATCCGAGTATACTCACCTTGAATGATAGCCAACAAAATGACAATCACGAAGAAGAAGAATGTAATGTCGAACATTATACGGTAAACCTCGTAATCGTCGCCGTCGGGTTCACCGATCTCGTCGCCTATGCCACCGCCGGCTCTCACGCCTTTGTACAAGTGAAAAATGAAGCACTGCCAAAGGAAATACAAGACCCACATTAACAGTTTCGAATTAGAATAATTAAATCTAAAACTATGGAAATACATCATGACTAGATAAAGATTGCTCGTGTATATCTGTGTAGCATACCGTCAGCATATGATGACATTTTTTATCCGTTTCGTCTTCCTCCTGTATGTAGAACTTTCTAAAGAAATTGAAGGCTATCACTGTGTAGATATATACTATGATTGTCAGTAGCATCACTGTCAAGACTAGCTGCTTGCCGTTATGTGTCACAGATTGCAAAATTGTTCGTAATGTTTTGAAACCGACCGCGACGTCCAGCAGGTGAGCGGCGAAGAAAAAATTGTTATAGTTGCCGAGGATGGAAAATGTGAAGTACCACAAACTATATAAAAATGACTGAAAATAAAATAGCGCGATTACACGTAGGTATTCAATTGGAATAAATTACATATGAATTGGTCTCGCCGACAATTTACTAGAAAAAAACTTACGTTATCGGTGATGGTGACTCCGGCCTTCCATATTTGATATCTCCAATCGATATTTACAATGCTACAAAAATTATTAATTGCATTACAAAGTCTCGTGACAAGAGATACTATCGCGATGTGTACTTACAAGTGTATTAAGCCAGATCCCTCATCTTCCTGCTGGCTGAAAGAAGTCTTTTCCATTCCGAGCAAATTGCTGATGTAATCGAAATCGTATGCCTCGCTGTATTTTTGTCGGACCTTCTTCTTGACGAACTTGTCCCAATAATTCACGGGGAAAGTCTTCGCCGATATTACCATTTTATCCCAGTGCGCTTTAATATCGTCCTCTTCCGGCGTTTCGGCTATGTACAATCCATCGAATTCTACTCGTCGTGCAATTTCCTTCTCTCGTTTGAAGATGGCCAATGGTACCTAAATAGGTACAAATTCATTATTTCATAATGTTTACACGATAATTGCATCGGTCAGATTTACCAAAATGTTTCGTGTAGAAGAACATTTAAAGATTTTAATAATTTACGTGAAATAATTGTATAGTTATCGTTACTCGCGTTTCAAGTACCTTCAGATGATAATACGCGACCAGCATAGCGAGCGAAACGATAGAATGAAGAGCAGCCAGTAGCCTCATAACGTGAGCCATGTAATAATAATCCTCGGCCACTTCCACGAATTCCTGAGCCTCCTCGTCTTCCTCCTCCGAGCCATTCTCACCGCTGCCGCTGCCTATTTCCAAGCCACTACCTGCCAAGCCCGATGTCCCCTCGCCTGATATTTCCGTTAGCAAATCTGCCATTCGTCCACTACCTTCGTCATCCGAGTCCTCAGCCAAAGACGAAACCTGAATTTAATTTAACGTCAACATACGTGAGAGAAAAATAATACGTACGAGGCGTGAATTTATAGAATCTTATATTTTTTACTTCAGCTATGTATGTTGTGTATGTACATACATATGAAAAATTATTCTAATATTTTCACAAACCTTATAAAATAGCAGCATAAAGTTGATACAAAAGGCGAGAACTAACGCGACGTATTTGAGATTGTAAAAGTTTCTGGCCAAGAAGGATACCACGCGATGGCTATATTGGGACAGATCGATGCTCGAGCCTGAGGAAGGTTCGACCGAGGTTTCTTGCTTCGCTTCGGCTTCAACCGCTGCCATGGCTGCTTGCTGAGCCGCCGCTGCTTCTGCAGCGGCAGCAGCTTGCGCTCTGGCTTGCTCTCCACTAAATAAACGTAATTTAATTAGCGAAAAAATATAATTTTACAATAGGTTGTTCGCTTAATCCTATTATTTAAATTCAATTAGCAACATGCCGCAGAATCAAAATATTCAGTATTTTATTTTTTATTTCAAACAAGATAAATACTTGATTTTGGTATCGTGATTTAAATAGACCAATGTGCATGTTTCAATGCAGTTTTAAGCTACGACCTTTTCAAACCGAGATATCGCGACGGGACGAAATCAATTTTGTTTTTGTAATCAATCGACGATATCTCGCGATCCAGTTATCCGAGGTAAATGATTCTGCACTTATTAGAAGTGCTATGGTTTTAGCTTTCCAACGAGACCAGGTACGATTCGCTGCGATTTTTTTGTGCAAAGATATTGATAATTATATCGACCCGTGATTTTAATCCAAGGACGGGGCCGGCCTCGCGGGCCTCGCTCACCCCCTCCACGTCACGAAGCACGTGACAAATGATTTACTATCGGTCAGCTGATCAGCTGACTGCAGTAAGCGTAAGCGAACACGTGTGCACACATACACACACACACACGCGCGCGCGCGCATGCCGCGTTTATTCATAATTGGTACGCGCCCGCCGAATTTTTTGAACTTTAGAGCTCCGTACAAAATTGTCGTAGCGACATGCGACAAACGCAGATCTTCGTTTCACATTCTGCAGTTGGCTATACTCAATACACATATTGTTATCACGACATATAAATTTGCAAATATAATTTGAACCATTAAGTAATAGGCTGCGAACAGACATATTAAAAATATTAAAAATTATTACAATATGTAGATTAATTTTATGGATCATTTAATTATCTTTCATCGATGGACTGATATCTTTACATAAAGTTTGATATACTTGACTAACCCGAGCAGATCAGCTAAAGTGACAGGCTGCTCGCTCTCTCCTCCTTCAGCTCTGGCTCCCTCCTCGCCGATTCCCTCATCGGGTGTACTCTCACCCGTTTCTTCGATACTGGATTGCGGCGTAGAGGTAGCTGATTCGTGCGGCGCCAATTTTATTTGCCCTCCTTCCTCTTTTGTTATATCCATTCCGAAGGCTTGCACCTACGTAAACGATTTCTTCTAATACTATTCTTAGTGTGGTTCTAACATAATTTATTGAGAAAATTTTACTTGTAAATTTGACTCATC